AGGCTAATGATTTATGTTGATTGCATTATCGGCTGCTGCTCCGAACATACTCCCCGCGTTGAAAGGTCAGGGCTTTCAACAGTATCGTTTACTGGAAGGACGCACAGCTTGTTCACTGCTCGACGGGTTGTTCCACTAGACGTGCGTAAAACTGCCACTCGTACTACACCATCAGCTCCAGGGATAACCTCGATTACACGGGCCAGGGGCCACTTCAGAGGCGGTGAGTTTTCGTCCTTGACGCATACGATATCGTTCACTTGAATGCTGGCCTGAGGTGTGCGCCACTTCGCTCGTTGCTGGAGGAGAGTGAGATATTCTCGACTCCACCGATTCCAGAAAATTTGGTGCACGTGAGTTGCGCGCTGCCATCGGTCAAGACGATTACAATTTAAATGTCTCAGGTCAGGTTCAGGTAGAGCTATTAGGGGACCACCAATCAGGAAATGCCCTGGCGTCAATACGTCTAAATCCTCTGGATTTTCTGAAAGTGGTACAAGAGGACGGGAATTAATAACAGCAGCGATTTGACATACCAGAGTGCGCAATTCGTCAAAGCCAAGAAGTGAAGAGCCAACCGAACGATAAAAGTGCTGCTTAGCTGTTTTTACGGCTGCTTCCCACAAGCCGCTGAAGTGCGGCGAGCGGGGCGGGATGAATCGCCAATCAAACCCATTGTTGAGACAGTGGTTATGGACCTCGCTGCGATGCTCCTCGCTTAAAAATAGGCGTCGCAAATCACTCAACTCGTTTCTTGCGCCTACGAAGTTTGTTGCATTATCTGACCAAATGCAGCTGGGTACGCCACGAGTAGCAACAAATCTCTTTAGAGCGTCGATAAAGGCGCTGGTCGATAAGTCCTTCACTAACTTCATCCAGACGGCTTTTGTTGCGAAGCAGATAAAAACGCTAACGTAACATTTTTGAGGGGACTTGTTACGCATTTCTGGCTTATAATAGAACGGCCCACAATAGTCTACACCAGTGACAATAAAGGCGCGTGAGGCCGCAATGCGATCCTTAGGCAAGTCAGCCATGATGTGCTCGACGAGTCGCGGTCTCGATTTACAACATATAATGCTTTTACCGAGGGCGTGGGCGACAGTTTTTCTGCCACCTATGGGCCAGTATTGCAAGCGAATGGCTGCAAGTAGTGACTGCGGCCCTACATGATGATGCTTGTGATGAAAATGTGCAATTATGGAGAACGTCAGCGGATGATTCTTTGGTAGAATACACGGGTGACGCGCTTCAAAGCCAAGAGTTGAATGCCTCAGGCGACCGCCAACTCGAATCAGACCGATGTCATCTAAAAATGGTGATAATGAAGAGATGCTGCTAGATGATGAGACACACCTCTTATTTTTCAAAGCGACGTAATCTGACCAAAGCTGCGCTCTCTGAACGATGCGAATTAACAACTGAACCCCATGATGAATGTCCCGAGACGTGAGCTGCGACGTCCTTGGCAATTTTTTTATATTGATAAATTTGCTTACGTAACCAAAAATACGCTGCATTTTGCCAAACGAGTTGATGTACTTAAATGAAAGAGATACGTCGGGTCGATCATTTGATGTGAGTAATACCTTTTGACGAGTTTCCAAAAGCTTGGTTTGTGGTTCGCGAAATTCAGGCCAGCTGATTTCTGCTTTGTGCAAGAATATTGGACCGTGCATCCAAAGAGCTGATTGCAAGAGCTCTCTTGGTGCGGCCCCTTTGGATAGGATGTCTGCTGGGTTCATGGCTGTAGGAACATAGTGCCAAGTCATCCCCTGTGTAAGCTCCTGTATAGCACATATTCGATTAGCGACGAAAACGTTAAATTTTGAAGATTCTTCCTGCAGCCATGATAGAACGATCGACAAATCTGACCAACAATAGAAGCGGCAGTCAAAAACCTTCATCTTGGCTATCTCACCTACTAACTGCGCAAGCAGAGCGGCAGCGCTGAGTTCCAACTTGGGCACAGTCAGAGTTTTCAGTGGAGCAACGCGTGCCTTTGAACATAGCAACTGTAATTGGACGTTGTTATCCTTAGTTGAGCGAGCATATACACAAGCGCCATATGCTTCATGGCTGTAGGAACATAGTGCCAAGTCATCCCCTGTGTAAGCTCCTGTATAGCACATATTCGATTAGCGACGAAAACGTTAAATTTTGAAGATTCTTCCTGCAGCCATGATAGAACGATCGACGAATCTGACCAACAATAGAAGCGGCAGTCAAAAACCTTCATCTTGGCTATCTCACCTACTAACTGCGCAAGCAGAGCGGCAGCACTGAGTTCCAACTTGGGCATAGTCAGAGTTTTCAGTGGAGCAACGCGTGCCTTTGAACATAGCAACTGTAATTGGACGTTGTTATCCTTAGTTGAGCGAGCATATACACAAGCGCCATATGCTTCAAGGCTAGCGTCGCAAAACGCATGAATTTCTAGCGCGGCTCCAGGCTGTAATACATAGCGCGGAAATGACGAATGTTGAATGTTGACGAAATCTTCACAAAACGTAGACCAGGCCGTATCCAGTGAATGGGGCCAGCTTTCATCCCACGCGAGCTTATCCCTCCACATTCGCTGTAAAAGAATTTTCGCCCTTGTCAGAGTGGGGCCTAGTAGGCCAAGTGGATCGTAAAAACGAGCTATGGTAGCTAATACAGAGCGTTTGGAATTTCTGCCAGATCTGATCGGCGAAAACGAAAACAACAGAGTGTCTTTGAACGGATCCCAGACTAGTCCCAGAGCCTTGGTGATATCACTGCCGTCATCGAATTTGAGAAAGCTTCCTCTTTCTGTTTGGGGAATATCGCCGAGAACATCAGGGCTGTTGGAGCACCATTTCCGTAATTGGAAATTACCTCGAGAAATAAGACCTGTTGTTTGCTGCATAATGTTTCGCACTTCCCGCACTGAATTGCCACCAGATATCATATCATCCACATAGAAGTCTCGAAGAACGACCTTTGAACCCAGGGGATATGCTGATGATTCATCAAACGCGAGCTGATGCATGGCCCGAATAGCCAGAAATTATGCAGGTTTAGTTCCATAGGTCACCGTATTCAACTTGTACACGCGTAGGTCATCTTGTGGAGAGTCACGCCATAGTATACACTGGAGCATGTCGTCTGGTGCAGTGACTCGAACGCATCTATACATTTTGCAGATGTCTCCAGTAAGTGCGACGGGAAACGATCGAAATCTAATGAGGATGTTGAAAAGCTTCGGTTGTATTGTTGGACCTGACATGAGCAGATCGTTCAGCGACAAGCCCGAAGTTGTAGCTGCAGAGCCATCAAATACAACTCTCAGCTTTGTTGTAGTGCTGTCATCCTTGATGACACAGTGATGTGGAAGGAAAAACTTACAGTCATGAACATCCTTACTGGAGACTAGTGACATGTGGTTGAGATCCAAATATTCGTTAATGAATGCCACATATTGTTCCTTGAGCTGTGGATTGCGAGTCAGTTTTCGTTCAAGACTGCGAAAGCGATGTAGTGCCTGTAAATACGAATCACCTAGTGACTCCACGCTACTCTTCATCGGCAGACGCACGGAATACTCGCCTGAAGACAGACGCGAATAATTTTGCCTAAAGTGCTCTTCGCAGTCGAGCTCTTCCTTTGTTGTTTTAGCGATTGGGTCAATTACATGGTCGATTTCCCAAAAACGACGCACTAAATAATCTAGCCGAGTACTACAATCAATGTGGTATGGCAGGTTGACTTTCAGTGATCGTTTGTGCGACAACAGCAGTAATCGTCGTCGAGAAATCAGAAGTCCGCGACTTCAGTACGAGATCGACCGAGTATCCCTCCGTTGAAAAGTTGACGTCGCCAATGCCAGATACTCCAGCGAAGGTTTTGGTTTTGCGCAGCTGCAGCTGGTTTGTGAAACGAGAGGTGATAAAGTGCAGCTGTGAACCAGAGTCTAACAGCGCACGACAAGGTACGAAAGTGCCGGCACGATTTTTTACAAAAATTACCGCAGTGGCTAGAAGCACAACATCAGATGGAGAAGTAAGGGCCTGGGACGAGGCAGATAAGGCTGCAGTCATGGCATTAGGTTGGGCTGTAGCGGATTTCAAAGTTAAGCCTTGAGGGCTGGTGGCAGTTGGAGCAGAGCGCTCAAAGTGCAAAAGTGTATGGTGCTTTGATTGACAGTTACGACAAGACCCCGATTTGCAGTCGCGCATCTGATGACCTTTTTTTTAGACAATTGAGACATAGAGCGAGTTGTTTAACCTCTTTTTGGCGGAGGTTTGGCGACAGATTTGTAAAGCGAGGACAATGGTATATCAGATGCTCATGGGATCCACAAAATACGCACCCCCCCCCACTGAGCCACCAGAAGCAACAAATGATTTTCTTTGGTTGGTACTCACGTTTTTACCAGATTTACCAGCTTGACCAACTGGTGTTTGCATAACGTGTTCGACGTTTTCGAGCGTTCTACAGCGCTTCTCCAGAAAGGTAGATAACTGGTCCCACGAAGGTAGTTCGTTTGTCGGCGAATTCTCCTCCCATTTGGATTGAGTCGCTTTGTCTAACTTCTGTATTAGTAGTTGTACAATGATACAGTCGGATATTTGCTGCTTGGACCCAAGCGATTGCAGTGCACGTATGTGAGCGGTGACTTTGTCAGTTAGTTCCATTAGCCTGCCTACTGACCCATCTGCTTTGCCCAGCCCGAAGATCTCCCTGATGTGTGCCTGAAATATAAGACGCTTGTTATCAAAACGCTTATGCAAAAGATCTAATGCATTTTTATAATTAGCCTCATTTATTTCTAGAGAACGTATGGTATCCAGCGCTGCACCACTCAGGCAGGAACGTAGATGTTGAAGCTTGTCGACCGGCGTAAGGTCGCTATCCTTGTCGATGACAGATACGAATATGGAGAAGAAGTTTGTCCACTCAGTATAGGCACCAGTGAACTTTGGCAGTGTAAGTAACGGCAAGCGTGATCGGTTGGTGTTCACTATAATTGATTGCGACTCATTGGCGTAAACCCTGAATGTGGAGCATAGCTGAGGTGCACTACGCTTTCCAATTTCACGCTGCAGAGTGGATCTGAGGTTAACTAAAGTGGAGTCGAATTTACCAGGCAGATCGCTGCAAATTGAATCAAAATCCAATTCCTCCAAGCTTGTGTGCGCACCGTTGAAACTTGACTTCAGTTCCCCCAATGAGTCCAGTAGTGCCGTCAGAGCGTATTCGTCCATCCCGTGCAGCTTATCACTGTCCATCTCGGCAGCTATTCGCTCAAGCCGGTTGAATATTGCTTTTGTTTTTAACTTAAAAAAGCTAACTCGATCTGTGGCCACCTGTTCATTTGATTGAGCAGCATTTTCGATACCTGGAGTACCATTAGCTGGGTTAAGTGTCATGATGGATTCAAGTCGAATTTATATCGGCAGCGCGTGATGTGTACTACACTCGGGAAAAATCGCAACTGGAAACCGTTGCGTGGGAAATGAACAGAAATAGCGGCTCACAAAATATGCTGAAGACGTAAGCTAACAGTTTAACTGTTTCAAGATCACGCTACAAGTTTCACAAAGTTCCGTGCTCTTGAATAACGGATTCAAATTTTCGGCTATAGGCGTATACGAGTATATTATTATGTACAAAGCGTTATGCACACAGTTTAATGTCCCAAATATCGAAGAGTACAATTCCACCAAAAACGCACGGCGATCACGTCGGGGTCACCAAATGTTGAGCTGCAAAGCTTTTTTTGCAGCTATTGAACTCCAAATTAACAAGAAAAGGTCAACACCTTTGATTTCTTGAAACAACTTAATTTTTATTTAATTTTTGATTTCGAATTCTAAACGATGATGTTGCCGTGAGCTTAAACTATAAAAATGCACCTATGCCGCTGCTGAGCTGCTGCTCAGTTCTATTGCCAAAATCGAATGATTGCAAATCTTAATTCCGCATGAGCAATAGCCTATTAGTGTAGGTATATATGTATACATTATGTACAAAATGTTTGTTCTTAATAGTGAGCATAAAGGGGAATTACGGAGTTTACAACGGTGATATTTAATTCTATGCAGATGAGAGCCTCGAGCGATAAAAAGTAATACATAGTTAAACTTGTTCTTTTTTTACATG